TTGATCAGTAATATAGTAAACTGTAATATTGTGAAATATTATTACAATATAAAACAACGTTTAAAAAAAGATATATTTTAAAAAGTATTTTATTCCCATGTTGGCAAAGCTGACTTTTTAACAGCCATTAATCCAGTCTTCAGTGTCACATGATCCTTCAGAAATCATTCTAATATGTTGATTTTGTGCTCAAATAACATTTCTTATTATTATCATTGATAACTACAGTTGTGCTGCTTAATATACTTTTTTCAGGATTCTTTGATTAATATAAAGTTCTAAATAACCTCATTTATTTCAAACAGTAATCTTTTGTAACATTATAAATGTCTTTACTGTCACTTTTGATCAATTTAATGCATTTTTATTAATTTCTAAATAACAATAAATTATAAAATAATTAAATAATAAAATTATAAATAAACTTACTATAATATAAAATATAAAATAATAGTTTTTTTTATGTGCTATTTTGTCTCTCTTTTACCCATAATTCCCTGTTTCCTTTCCATTTCTCATATCAGTTTAGTGGCAAAATATCTAAAAGAAAAATTATAAAATGTGAAAAATATCTGTATCATCACTGTGATGTTTTTCAGTCATTTAATGAAAATCTCTATATTTATATTCCAGTTCTGACTTTAGTCACTAGCACTTACCCACTTTAGAATACTGATGCCATGTCATGAGCACTGACATTCAGATCTACTGGGAAACATGTACACTGCAGGAGATTTTATGCACTGCTAAGCATTCAACTCTGTGAAGGCTGTAATCATGTGACCTGCACTTTCTTTAAACTGTTTGACTAGCATATACATACCAATAGTACATGACATATGGTCATGTACTATTGGCTAACCATCACTTCTGTGACTTTCAGGTTATCTGGAGTTTGCTATTGTGTTGTAAGGACCATTTTGTTATTCATGCAGTATTACATGTTACAATAGGGCTGTCATAGGGGCATCCAGCAATCATGTGTACTTTTGTTCCAACGGTATGTCTCACTGTGTGATGTCACCATGAGTCCATTAGACATCCATTATTTCTTTTGACAACCTAGTGTCAAAATGAGCAGCATGTGGTGAATCAGCTTGAGATGCCCCATTTGGTGATGCATATGACCAGTAGCTTCTCCTCCCTGTCTCTCATCACTCCTATGAAGCCTCTGAGACCATGGCATAAGCTCAGTGCTGCAGGAGATCTAGCACACATAAAATATTGAGAGTATGCCTGAATTATTTGATAGTTCTGGTGGTGAAAGCTGGTACGTTGCTGTATTCCTACAGAGAGGAAGCAGTTCTTTGCTGAGGAACCTTGGTCCTGCAGTTTTTTGCACTGTTTTGTGGTACTGCAGGATTTCTGACTTGAAATATTAATAATAATTAACATAAAATATAGCTTTCTTTCTTAGCATGATGTAAGCATCACATCTTATGTGGAACTGAATCGCTGATTATCAAGACTGGGAAAATTTATTCCACACTGAGAGTTACTTCAACTTGAGCTGCCAGAGATTATGTCTCTAATGCCTGTATTATAGCCCTGTGATTTAACTGTTTAATCAGTTTATATAGAGATGAATAAAGTGTTCAATAAATTCTAGGTGTAAAACTGCCAAAAGGAGTGATCACCTCATAAAACACTGATAGCCATTGGTCATTTTGAGATATGTGTATATACTCTTCTGTCTTTGGATGAAAAATGTATTTAAATTTACTTTGGGAACTTCTAATTTAGGATTGGAAACTGGGGCAATGTTTCGAATAGCATACTAGCATACTATTTACAATTGCCGTAGTATACACCAGTTGGCAGTATGTTAGTATTCCAGTTGGAGCAGTCTTTGTCTCCCTCTACTGGTCAACCTCTGTCATTACTTCAATCTCTAGTACATATTGTACCCTCTGGCATAAAAATGAGCAAATCACAACCTTTTTTTTTTCTTCTTAATCTTATTTCAAGTTTAATTATGCTTATAATGAGAATTATAGAACATGCACATAGTGTAATCTACAGAAGTATCGTGTTAGTGATATGTTAACACCATTATAATGCAGATATGTATAGAGCTGTTTTTATTCATTCTCCTCTCTGACAGACTAATAGCTGTCCTTTTGGTTCAGGTTAGCTTTGTTTGAACAGTATTGTGGGTTGTCACGCTCACAGCAGTGTCTGTGGCTAGAACCCAGCAGTGCTGTTCTGTGCCAGACAAGCCTGGCTGTCTCCAAGCAGACAAATTCACCTAAAAATCCCTCATATCTTCTGTCTCCTTTAGCTTTTCACGCTATGTTAAAACTCATTTATTGCAGATGCTTACTTGTTTACTAGATATTTTGTTCTGCAGCATCTGTAGATTCTTATGTTGATTATTTTCATTTACTGCATTTTAAATTTACAGCTGGAATTTGCAATTACTCCTGTCTCAGTAGCATTATTAAAATGTTCAATAAGATTTAATTAACAGAGATGTATTATATATATATATTTTTCCACCATCTAGAAGAGAGTTTCAAATATAAAAGAGTAGGATGTGGAAAACCTCTTCTTAGTTTTTTAAAACCCCGAGAGGAACATAAACTTGATGATACAGCGTTCCACCTAATTTCCTCTGCAGACTTTTCAGAAATAAATCAGTGTTTTATTTTCCCATTCCACTAAATAAATGGGTTTTTATATGTGCTAATAGACTTCCTGTGCATATGTGGATCTATGTGAAAGAGAAGGAAATTTGAGGCTTCGGCCAGGATTTTGTGCAAGTTGCCAGTGTGTGCGTTGTCTAGCACATGGGAGCATATGTCTAGAGAGCACTGTCACCATGGCAACAGTGTGCTTGCCAGATATGTGAAAACATCCCTGCACAGGCTGAAACGCTCATCAACCGATAATGATCTCACCCAGTGTCATTAACACACTGAAAGCAATTAGACTGGAAGACTTTTGAAATGCTCCTTGCCATCTGTTTTTGAAGTATATTGTATGTAATATTAATATGGTCCTTGAATACAAATCAATATTGTAATATAAACGATATACAGTATTGCAACACTTGTAAGAAGCATACTGTTTGTATTGCTCTAATTCTCTATTTGCATCAGATTAGAGCATTACATCCTAATGATTTTGGGTTTGACCTGCACTTTGAAATGAAAGTTAAACATGGAGACTATTGTTACCTCTCATTCACTCATTCCCTTTGTCACAGTATATTCATTTACACCTTTAATGAAAAGCCTGGCATCTGTTTAATTTAAAATTAATGTAGGTACAGTATTTAAACGAATGAACTGTTGATTGACTGTAAAAATGTGACTTACCATGGAGGACCACTACCATTTTGACATGCTGACAAATGCAACTCGTGTTTGTAAGTGTACACTGGTCAGATGCAGAATCATTTCTACTGAAAATACCAGAAGGCTGATTTATGCTGATTTGCTCCCAGTCTAGATTGTCTTGTTGGTTAAGATCCCTGGTTAGCATCCCATGCTGAGGACTAACATCCAAAGCACGTGCAGTTTTTTTCAGCATGGAATGGGTGTGTTCACTGCACTGAAAGCATCAGTACATTCATCAGAGTTTGATGCAGCAGAACTGTGTGTGTATGACTCCAGCCAAGTCCTTGCTGTAGATACTAGTAGTGAAAACATGACTTCAGACAAAGAAAATCATGATGGAATTAATAGAAAAATCCTGTTTTGTTCTATACTTGCATTACAGCTGGTATTTCAGCTTGGATAGAGAGAAAGAGATAGATAAGATGGAGGAGTAATGGAAAAAATATATAGAAAAACACAGATTTTCTTTATATTACAACAGCCCGAGTGGGAAGTCTGCTTCTCTCCTCACCGTGGGGGAGGGAACCGTGCCTGAGGATGGGTTAAAGGGAGAGAGAGAGAGCCAAGCAGTGAGTCTGCGAGTGGCGAGTATCTGCAACGGGTTTCATTTGGATAAAGCCCACCTTCAGCGATAGATCGAAGGGAGAGAGAGCGTACAATATTGAAAAAGAGGGAGGGATGTGGAGAAGGGGATGTAACACACAAAGAGATAGAATCAAAGCTTCAGATTTCAGGAATTGCCATTGGGAATAGGGAAAGTGTATTAGTGATCGCTGGCAGATATGGCAGTGAGCGCGTGGCAGGCTCTGTCTCCGCTGCAGTGGGCTCGCTGGGGCTGGGACACACTGCTGGGAGGGACATTTGGAGAGGATGGAGCAGACCCAGCCCTAGGGCTCGTCCAGCGCCTCAGCTGGACCTCCAGACATGATTACATGATCCATGGCAGGCAGAGGTGAGCATGGGGTAACAGCAGAGAGAGGACAGGGACTAATGCGGTGAGACTGGGTGGGGGTCTGCACATCTGTCTGAGGCTGCGGCTTTGTTGCTGTATTTGTACAAATGTTTTCACCTATGCTATCACATATTACATGTCAGATTTGAGTATTACTGTATATGCTAATGCCAAGACCAAAAAAAGGTTCACAAACCGACATTTTGTTGTATTGACATAAAAAAGCAACATGGGCATCATCAGTCTTGGCTGAAATGACATAAATGTGTGAAAATAGCACCTCCACTGTGATTCTCAGTAGTTTAAAATCAAATAATGAGTGAATATAGTGAATGAAAGAAAATGGACTCCATGGCTGAGAATAATATGTGTTTGTTCTGCTGTTATTGGTCTCCTCCTAGCTGCAGGTTCAGCACTTTAATTTCCATCTGTAATAATCCACCAGGGCCTACTAGACATATGCTGATCCAGGCGTTTGCTTATAAGATCTGGCACACAATGAATGATTGTTTAATATACTTTAGGAGTATCTGAATTTATTTGATCCATCGTGTAGAGTAAATATGAGCTGTGATGTGTGTGGATTTGATGCAGCTTCTTTGTATGGAAACAAAACAGACGTGATGTTTATTCTTCAATTAGATTATTAAATCAACTCTTAATTCAATATACTCAGACTTTCTTTTGTCTCATTGTCTCTTCTCTAGGAGCTCAGACTCAGACGGAGCATTTGAAACCCCTGAGTCCACCACCCCTGTGAAGTCTGCTTCCCCACCAGTGCTCTCAACAGAGCCCCCCTGCACCAAATCAGAGGCATTGTCCCCAGAACACACAGGTACGTTTAGATCTCCATTCCATTACAATTCACACCACAGATTGTCTTATGTGGAGTCAAGTTATTTTACTTATCATTTGAATAGCTTCAGGAGGGTTTACTGGACTTTGAAATGCTTAAGATTGCAGGACATTGACAAATAGTGACACTGTGTCTTGTTTTGAACAAATTCTGTAATATTTAATATAAAGTAAAAAATGGACAATATTAAATGACAATAAATAGTAAGTGAATAAATACTATAGCACACATCATAGAGCAAGAGTAAATAGTACTATTCTATTCTAACTATTCTTAACTCTAAATCCCAGGAAATGGTATGGAAAACTAAGTAACTATATCTAGTTATCTAGTATCTAAGTATCTGTAGCTAGAATATGTTATTTTGCAATGTTTAGATGTTAATTTGTGCTTTGTTGGAAACAAAGAGATGGAGGTCTAATTAAATTATTTATTCAATATGTCTGTTTCTCTTCATGACTTTATATATTTTTAATCAGTATTCCTGTTTGTTTTATTTATTGTTCTTAAAAAAAAAAAAAAAGGCTGCCTTTTTACTTCCATTATTCTCTGACAGGAGTACTGTAGTCTTTGTTATCAAACACTGCACTTGTACTCTCTCTAGTGGATATACAGTGTATTGCTACTCAATGTTTTTTTTTTTTTTAAGAAAGGTCTATAAATCAAAACTAACAAACAATACTCCATGCTTTATGCTTAAATTCTTCAGTTGTTTAACATAAAATAATATCAATGCATCTGTGAGTACTACTCTGTGATCTTGAAAGCATGATTTGTTTTCAAAATGTATAGTAACATGCAGAGCATGTGAGCGAAGCGGAGCGGTGTGTGTTTCCGCTCTATGGACGTGCGCTCCACTCAGTCGCTCTAACCGCCCAAGCAAGCGCTCCGTTAATATTCCGCTCACGCTCACCGTAAACCAATTCCCGCTCAGATCCCGCTCCGTTCTGTAACGAACAAATTTGCGTGCATTATATTAGATTATAAATGAACAACGGCTCTGTGTAGTAAATGCTGCGCCACGTGAAAGCACGCACGTGTAGAGATTTACCGCTGATTACAGAACCGGCTTTACTGACGAGATGCGCATTAAATATCGTGTGTGATATTTATCGTGCAGCCCTAGTGTCAGTCATCCATTGTAGTGCACTATTTGTAATTCTTTTAAATTTTCCTGTGTATATTTCTAAATCGTCAGATACATGTGTGTATGTGGGTGGGTGTTAGTACTTGTTTGTCAGCCTCTGTCACATGTCTGTTGATCTCGCGTATCACAGGAAGTCCAGCAATGTCTCTTCTCTGTGTTGTTTCTTGTAAGTAGAGAGATGGTGGAAAAATCAGCATAAGTAATCCATATAGCTTAACACAAAATGTCACTTTAACATGTTTTAACTCATGAGCTCATGTCAATTGATTTATCATTCAATTTAATACATATTATGACTGATTCACGTCACCTCCATCTTCCTTGGCTCCATGTTTGCTATTCTCCAATGAGCATGTGTTGCCATCTAGTGGACCCTCAAACAAGTACAGTTGATTCCAGGAACAAATGTGTACGGGGGTACAGACTTTAGACTAGAAAACATGATATGATCGGGTTGTTGACTATGCTTTTTTCAATGAAACAGACGTGAAGATCGACATTTCATCTCTAAAATCTCTGAATTAATTCCTAATCCAAACATTTGTATGAGACTCATTTCAGAGATCCTGCCTCCTTAGGGTTGCCTAGTGGATAATAAACGTTGCAGGTTTTATTACAGGAAAGCAGACCTGGAATGTTGACAAGGGAATCTTTATTGTGCCTTTGAGCAAGACATTATTTTCCTTGTCTAAGACCCCTGCACACCCTGATTCATTAATACAGCTGTTTGGGAGCAATTTTAAGTAATATTACTTTCAAACTGGGAGTTTATTGGATCATTTGTTTCAGATTAATCCATCTAACATATTTTGCTCAGCTGCAGACTTTCCTCCACAGTTCTCACACAATTCAGGGTTTCCACCTTATTTTTTTTTTCAACACAGATGTCTTTTCAGATTTGACATGAGGAGTGAAGCAATACTCCTGAAATATTTACATCACACTTACATTATGAAATGTGCCAAAAACAGCAACAGAATAAGATTTGAAATGTTCGTATTATGTGAGGCATCTGTCACTTTCTTGGGTCAGTGAGCAATTTAACAGGGGCTACAGGGATTAATACTAAGTGGGTCAGGGCAGAGACTGTGGAGCATTAAGGGTATTTTTCTAATTTTCTAATTCTAAACCACAAATCTTTACTGCATAATCGCTGAATATTTGCAAGACATATTTCCAATTCATCTCCAGTAGCTGTTGGTCTTAATTTCCTGCCATGATTCCATTCGTAAAGACTGCATTAGAAAAAAATGTATGTTTTCTATAAAAAACACATTTACACAAGAACATAACTAACTGAAAAACATAACATTGATATAAACCCAATAATAGAAGAATCAATGATGATGTAAACCTTGAATAATCCATTATATTTCGTGCTAGTAAAATCTTAACGCATGAGATTTAATCCTTAATAATAAGCACCATCATTTACTGTAAGAATTACAATATATTTGCATTGTCAAAAGTTTTTTTTTAAACCTTTATCAGAACAACACAACAGGTATGTATTATTTAACTAAAACTTTTATTCAGTAGAACATTAGCTGTATAGTATCTGTCAGAAAACTGTTGTGTATAATAAATGTGGTGGTTGGTGTGCACACAGTTGGGTTTTTGAAAAAGATTTATATGCTGATTGAAAAAAAAAATTGGTTTGATGTTGTCTTTTGTTCTAGATTGATAGCACAAATTTCTGTCTTGTTTTCTTAAACAGTAACACTTTTAGAGTGAAGAAATCACCAAAGAGGACTCAGATTACTGAGCCGTCTGCTCAAGTAAGTTAAGACATGAGCGTACATTCACCTACAGTACACTCACACAGTCACTGCAGATGTTCATTCTGAAGATGATCTGTTTCTCCCCTTCGCTGTCACCTCATATCATAACAGTGTTGTCCTGTGTGTTCTCCACTCTCGCCCTCCACTTCACACACACATAATCACCTGCAGGAGCACTCGCCTGATGCCAATCCCGAGCCTTCACAAGATCACGCCACAGATGAGGAGAAACTGGCTTCCTCCACCAATCAGAAATGGACTAGACATGACATAGAGTTGGAGCTGAACTCTGACCCCCAAGATTTCCCGCAGCCGACTGACTTTACAACTTTTGTCAACGAGAACAGTTTACCCACACAGAGTGATGGTGAGAGAGTGGAGGAGTCTCTTATTATGTTACTACATTATCTCTAAACATGAGTCATGGATTTTCTGTCCACAGTCCTGCATTACTTTACATAGATCGCTTGGAAGAGTAAGAAGAGGACTATGTCAAAATGCAAAATAAGAGTAATGGTTCTAAAATTTAAAAACATTTATTTTCTGTTGATTTTGGGGTAAAATGTTTTTGTGAGATTCACCCATCAGATAACCCCTTGTGATACAAGTTTGCCTATAACCCCAAATGACCCAAAGCTGACCCGTTTTATTAGCCTTTGACCTACAGGGAGCCATTTGCGCCCTAGGGCAGTTTCTGCCTGAGACTAACTGGGTCAGTAGTACAGAGGCAGATGATTTATAGTGCCACTCTCATATTGGTTCTGTCAGTCTGAACTGATGATCAGCATAGAAAGAATATTCTTTGAAAACCTTATATTATTATTAAGTCCTAACATAACCTTTATAAAACATTTAACCTGTCATATCTTCTCTCATTTTCTCTGATGTCTTTTCTGCAGTTACAGACTATGAGATTGAATACATGGAAAAGATTGGTTCCTCCGCACCTGTGAGTATCTACCTGAATCATAGACACACTAAACTTAAAGAAATTTTCTAAAAAAGCAAAAGCAAGTGTGTGTGACTAATGTTAAATTACAGCTTTGTATTTATGTGAATACATGAATGTTTTTTACAGCCTCTCTCGGTGAAGAAACCATCACTTTATCTGAAGCTGGACTCTGTGACAGACAGTCCAACGAAGACTTCCAACATGCAAGATTCAGAGCCCAATTCTCCCTTCACTGGGTAAACCAAACACACACACACAAACTAACATCATATATTATTATGTGTATCATATATTGCTTAAAAAACAATGAAATGACTTGAGATTAGTAGATTAGTAGTAGTCTGTGTGAAAATATTTTCTATTCAAACATGAAATCTGTCTGTCAGTTAGCACCTGCTGCTAGACGACATAAATGCACCATTATGTTGACAAAAGTAAACAAACAGTAAAACCATGAAGATTATTTTAAAGGAATATATTTGTTAAGGTGGATTTTGGAGTACACCATTCTCTCAGAAAAAAGGTACAAAACTGTCACTGGGGCGGTACACTTCTGTTACTAATTAAAAAATGTTTCTTGAAGTTACTAATACTTTTAAAGTATCAACTCGATTCCCATGGGGTCTTTAAAATGTTTTTACTGTACTTTGGCAGTGTATTCCATGTGTTTAATTGTGTTGGTCTGATGCTTCACAGGAGCTTTGAGGAGGTGGAGGCTCAGATCTCGCAGGGGAAATCACCTGTGCTGCCACCACATGGTGCTCGTGACTCCATGGCCTCAGAGAAAAGCAGAAAGAGGGACAGTCAGTCTCAGAACCGAACGCAGAGCAATGAGAGAGATGGAGCGGTAAGTGTAAACCAGTCAAACACTGAAAGATAGAATCAGCACCTTTAAGAGTGTGTTTATTTCATTAGCTCAGATAACGTGGAGCTCATACAGTCAAAATGCAAGAAAACCACCACAAATGTGTGAAGATGGGGTTATTTTTATTTTGTTAATACTAATGATTGCACAGCTTATCTGATGCATTTACAATGCTACACATTTTTGTTTTCAGTTTTAAAGGGACAGTGCATCCTAAATAAATAAATAAATTCTGTCATTATTTACTCACCCCCATGGTATTTCAAAAACGTATGCTGTAATTTTTCAGTTTAACACAAAAGGAATCCTTTTGACCAATGTACACTCCTCTTTTTTATATAACTGTCTGTTTTCCAATCATAACAATAGTAAATAATGACAGAATTTTTATTTTTGAGTGAACTCTCCCTTTAAGACAATTATTTTGCTAGGCATGCAGCTTACTCAGGGTCTCCCCACCTGAATCAGTACCGCAGACTGTTTATTCATAAGCTTTGTAAACCCATCATAGAAGTGTTAGGATGCACTAGGCTAAATACGAGCTTGCCCTGCCTCACTGACACCAAGACACCTCCTACTCCTCTTGTCCCTCTTCTGCTCTCGGTCCCAATGCAGTCCCCCATCCAGGGCCCCATGGATCCCTCAGATCTGCCCCTCTTCGACAGGCTGTCTGATTCACCTGCCCCTCTCAGCTACTTGGAGCCTGATCTGGCAGAGACCAACCCCACTGTCTTCGCTCAAAAACTGCAGGTGTGTAGAAAGAAGCCTACCAGCCAACTCTCTCTTCTTCCCTGGACCTTTGTGTGTGTGTGAGAGTGCGTGTCTTCATTCAGCTGTGCTTCACTGTGTGTTTGTTTGTCCCTCCAGTCTTTCATGTACCTTGTCTGCTTTGTGTTGTCTCTCATTTTTTGTTTGTCCCCTAGTGCTGGGGTCAGGAGATGTTAAAGGAATAGTTCAACCAAAAATGAAAATTCTGTCATATTTATTCATCCTCAAACTCCGAAATGAGTAAAAAGCACTATAAAAGTACACTACTATTCAAAAGTTTGGGGGAATGATTTAAAAAAAAAAGAAGAAGAAATTAATACTTTTATTCAGCAATGATGCATTATATTGATCAAAAGTGATTGACTTTTACATTGTTGCAAATTTTATTTTTAATAAATGCTGTTCTTTTGAACTTTCCATTCATTAAAGAATCCTAAAAAAAATCATGGTTTCCACAAAAATACTATGCAGCAAAATTGATCATAATAAATTTTTTTTTTGAAGGATCATGTGACACTGAAAACTGAAGTAATAGCTTGCCATCAGAGGAATAAATGAGGTAAAAAAATAAATATATTAAAATAAAAAAAAAGTTACTTAAATTGTAATAATATTTGACAATATACCGTAACTGTTTTTAGGAGGGAGCACAAGAGACTTCTTTCAAAAACATTAAAAAAAATCTTAATGGCTGCAAATATTTTAACTGTATAGTTTCAAGTCTTCTGAAGTTTGATAATTCGCATGGACAACTTTTATATTGCTGTTATGGTGCTTTTTTTTTTAGAGCTTGACAGCCCCTGGTCCCTATTCACTGTTATCACAAGGTATATCTTCAGATATTCTGATAAATATCTCCACTTGTGTTCCACTGAAAGACAGAATTTTCAGTTTGGCTGATTTATCCCTTTAAAAAAATACATGCGAGTAATACAACTCCTAGAAAGGGTCGATGGATCTCACCACATACACAACATTCACAGTAAATTGTGTATGAGTGTCTGTTTGTGTGTGTACAGTATATGTAAGTTTTTCCCCCTCAGGTTTAGTATTTGTGTGAGGCCAGTACAACACTAACCCCTCTTTTCCTCCTTACCCCATCCCTACTTCATGGGTCACTCCCCCTTTCCTCCCCTCAACCCTCCCTTGTGGCCCAGGAGGAGCTGGTGCTCGCAGCCCTGAGGATAGAGGCTCTACAGGTAGCCAAAAACATCTCTCAGAGCCCCACTTTGTCCACTGTGTCCCCTCAGGTACTGCGCTGAGCCAGCCCACACCCGTGTGTGTGAGTGTGTGTGCATATGCAAGCACAAGTGTGTGTGTGTGTGATACCCCCTTTTGAACCGAGCCCCCTGACTGCACCCTTGGGTATGAGTGTGAATACCTACCCATAAACTACCTCACCATACTGTGGACGTGACATCTCACCCCTGGTACTTTAACCCGTCTCCCGATTGGTACTCCTTTTTCCCAATCCAACACCCTCTTGAGCAAAAGAGGTGTGTTTCTCCCAGGGCTTTGTGACAATCCTGCATGTTCGCTTGGACTGGAGATCCATAGAAACAAAGGTCAATGTGACTTGGAAACTTACGCTGTATATAGATTCTATATTATTACATCAAATATGAATGGTTTGCAGATTTCATCATTTATATGCTTTTCCTAAGCAGAATGTTTATAGATGAATTCCTCGTCACATTCATGCTAGTTACTGGTTTCGATTTGTTACTAATTTACACTAACTCATTGGAAGGCAGTGGGCATACAGACCATCTGTATGCCTGGTTCGAGGCCACTGGCGTGGCTTCACATTAAGCTTAGCTCAGATCTGCTTTCAGTCATGTTGGATGAGTGACCATCACCTCTGTCTCAGCATTTGTACAGGAAATGGAATAATCTAATCTCGTATACACGAACGTGCACACATACTACAACCCCTCTAACATGCCTCATATTCTTGCCACTCCATTCTCATGATGTTATCTTGCACGCTTTACAGTCTCGCCTCAAGAAACCCAGCCCACGTCACTGGAATCTCAACGGTTCTCGCATGGCTAAAGTAAGAAGGACAGAAAATATCCCCTTTGAAGTCTAACTAGGTCTAGTCTATATATTCTAATCCCACTGTCCCTGTACCACCTTTATTAGACTAAACCACCATTAGTCAGAAAACTAGGTCTACAGACAAGAAACATCTCATCCTTCTCTTATCCTTTCTGTTCACTGAAAAAAAAGGAAAGAAAAAATCGTAATCATTAATTGTCATTTTTCTATTTGAAATATCAAAACATTCTTAGAACAAGATACACGTGTGTGTGTGTGTGTGTGTATATATATATATATATATATATTATTACTTTTTTTTATTATATATGTATATATTATTATTATTATTATTATTATTATATTTATGTATATTTAGATTAGTATTTATCCTGAATTTTTTTTTATATACACTACCTTCAAAAGTTTGGGTTCAGTAAAATTAAAGTAATGTTTTCAGCAAGAATGCATTAAATTGATTAAAAGTGACAGTAAGACTTTCACATTGTTACAGAACATTTCTGTTTCAAATAAATGCTGTTTTTTAAATTTCTATTCATCAAATAATCTTGAAAAAATACTTAATACAATTATGAAATTGTAATATTGTTTAACAGAAGTAGTGTTTTTTAATCAAATAAATTCACCCTTGTTGAGCATAAGACTTAAAAAAAAAAAAAAAAAAAAAACAAAAAAAAAAACCTTTTTGACCAAAAAAAAAACCTTTTTGACCAAACTTTTTAATGGTAGTGTACAAACCAAGATGTCCTGAGTCTGCTGCTCCTGCCCTTTCAATTTTTTTTAACAAGTAGCAACAAAATATAACCTCAAATTAGAATCTAAACTCTTTAAAGGACAGTCACAGACATATTAACACACATCAATTCTAACCAATTTTTCTAACATTTAATTTGACCATCTATATATCTATCTTATTTTTTTGTGTTTTTTTTTTTTGTAATAGTTATGTTATGTCTCACTCTGTCACACAGACAGATAGCAAACTCTGTCACAGGACGTCCCGTATTCCACAGGTATTTTTTCTGCCCCTGAATAATCTCTAGACTTCTTTTCCAAAATAGAGTTGATCTTTAATGTATCAAAAGTATTTCTGGAATAGTACTGATACATTTTAGGATTATGGAGTGCTTTCATATATAAAAAGTAATGAGTAATGGGGTAATGAGGTTCAGTGATGACTAACCTGAATTGATGGTCTTCTTAAAATATTCAATATTTTAACATACATTATTAGATAACGCTCTTCCTGAAATAGTCTCACAGACAAATTTCACATGCTGCTTCAGCACATTCTCCATGACGTGTTCTTTATTTTACCTTTTCATTAGCAGTAATTTATCATTCATGGAATTACATGCACAGCTGCTCTGAAGATAACAGGAATACATCACTGAACTCTGTCTTGTCAATATTCATTTTTAAAGATTTTGTTTCTCATTTGCATTCAGAGTTATTCCTCTGCCTCATTTCTCACCCTCTGCTGACTGTGTTTATGATTGGTAATGATGAACATGGTGTTCTTTTTGAGTTGGATCACGCATTCAGGGAGTTTCTAGATTAGATTATGCAATGATTGTTGAGAAATGCAAACGTTGGAGTCAAGAATAAAACTAGGCCTCTCGAGTCTAAGACCAAGACCTGTACAATTTATTAATTCTCATTATACTTCAAAGAAAAATAGCAAACTCACAAAAGTGAAATGTGACTTTAATTTGGTTGAAAATAGGCTGAGTTCTGGTCTGAGACTATTGAGATTATAAGCCAAGACTCAGATCTAGGCCATGTCTAATGTACAGTATGTAGTCATAGGAGACCTGAGATCAACACTAAACTCTAAATTTGATAAAGCATCATTTCAACATTTTGTATCAGGTTTTAATTTCAGTTTGTACCTCACGTATGACTATATGCCCCCTCCATGATCTGAGTGCAGCCCAATAATACAGTAAATGGTATTAGGCATAAATTCTCCTTGCAGACCAAACATGTGGTGGGCATTCTGTATTTGTACCCTAACACATGACCCTACCTTGTATAAGAGTCAAACTCAATTAATCTCCTAATCCAGCCCTGTTAGGAAGAATTAATCAGCTCTAATCAGCAAGTGGGTTTAAGGTCTAAACATGATGATTATTCAGTAACTACACCCCATCACTGGCTATAAAGAGGCCTTCTGGAAACAATACAAACCCTGAAAATGTACTGTAATTTAATAACTTGCTTCTGAATCTTAAAACTGATTTTTTTTTTAATAAATATTTTA